CTTTAATCTATATTGAAGACTACAATCCTTGACCTTCTGCAGCAAATGCTTCATGTCCTCTCCAGTTTCAGTAAGTAAGGTTTTATCATCTGCATAATGCATGTTGTTGATCAGTCTTCCTCCAATCCTGAGGCCACAATTCTCCTCATAAAGTCCAGCCTCTTGAATGATCTGTTCTGCATACAGATTAAAAACATAAGGAGATAGGGTGCATCCCTGAGACACTCTCTTCCTGAACCTGAACCATGCAGTGTTTTTCTGTTCTGACTACTGTTTCTTGGTCCAAGTATAGGTTTCACGTGAGTACAATTAAGTGTTCTGAGATCCCCATTCTTCTCAAGGTTAGCCATAATTTGTTGTGATCCATACAGTCAAATGCCTTTGCATAGTCAATGAAACACAGTTAGACATTCCTTTGATATTCTCTGCTTTTGGCCAAGATCCATCTAACATTGACAATGATGGCCCTAGGGCCACAGCCTCTTCTAAACCCGGTCTGTACATCTGGTAGTTCTCTGCTGATATACTGTTCCAGTAGTTTCTGTAGAATCTTCAGCAGGATCTTGCTTGTGTGTGATATTAGTGATATTGTTTGCTAGTTTCCACATTCTGTTGGGTAACCTTTTATAGACAACATCAAATCACATAATGAAAAAGACAAGATGATTCAAGAAAATTACCAACATAAAGGGTCAGAAAACCTTTTTGAGAAATACATAGAGATCTTCAAAGAGGTCAAGGGAAACACAGATGAAAATCAAGAAAAGCATAGACAAAATATCAGGAAAACAATACAAGAAATAAGTTAAATATAAATATATAGTTATAACTAGCAATTAGAAATCCAGAAGACTGACAATAAAATATCAGAAATACATAACTCAACAGAAAGACCAAGAGCAGAATAGAATCAATGGAAGAAAGAAACAATGAAATGGAGGACAAACCTTTAAATATCAATTTGACTGTGGATCAGAAAAAAAAAGGAAGAAAACATTAAAAATTATGTGGCACTTCACCAAAGAAGACATTCAGATGGCCAAAAAACACATGAAGAAATGCTCAAAATCCCTATCTCCAAGAGAGATGCAAATCAAAACTATGAGATATCATCTCACCCCAGTCAGAAGAACAAAATTTAACAGAACAGCAAGCAACAAATGCTGGCGAGGTTGTGGAGAAACTGGAACCCTTATTCACTATTGGTGGAAGTGTAAAATGGTGCAACCACTGTGGAAGGTGGTGTGGTGCTTTTTCAAAAAGTTGCAAAAAGAGATACTATTTGACCCAGCAATTCCACTACTAGGAATATACCTCAAAGGGACCATAACTGACATCCAAGCAGATATATGCACACCCATGTTAATTGTGGGTTTGTTCACAATAGCAAGGAATTGGAAACAACCTAAGTGCCCATCAACAAACGAATGGATAGAGAAGCTGTGGTATATTCACACAACAGAGTAATACTCTGCATGAATGGAAATCCACAATCTCTGTAAATATTCACCGAAATTAATAATAATAATAAAAAAAGGAAAACCAACTAAAAAAACCAATACTACTCTGCATTGAAAAACAAGGAATTCATGCAATATTATTCAAAATGGGTGACCCTGGAGGACATTATGCTGAGTGAAATATCTCAGTCAAAAAAGGACAAATACTGCATGATAAAACTGCTGTAGAATGAGACTGACAACAGGGTTGGGGTAAGACTGAGAAAAACTGGATAAATTATGTATACTGCACTGAAACAGATGAGGGAGAGAACAGTTTAAAAGCGATATATGATAGGGTATTATGTTTATCACAAGAGTCCAGAATTAATGTTGCATAGTGGAGTGTACTCGGGGCAGGGGGATTGTATACTTTTAATTTTCAAAGAGAGGAGTGAACTAGAGGGGAGGGATGGGCAGGGAGAAAAGTGCAACAATGAATGAATGGAAATCCAAAATCTCTGTAAATGTTCATTAAAATTAATAAAATAAAACTAAAAAAATTATGTGGGACATTGTTATTGTTGCTGTTGAGTTGCCTGTGATTCACAGCAACCCTATGTACACAGTCCTAAACCCTGC